GCACCCGTACAGCTACCCTTGCCTCGTCTTCCCCTTTGGGGGGCCTCCTGGGAGGCCCTCGTCGCAGCCGCCGGCTTCGCCTCGAGACCCTGGTCAGAGCGCACCCCAGGAGAGGTCCGGGCAGCAGCGGTATCGGTGCCTTTTGGTTTCCCCATCGATATGGGGTCGGGTGATGGCGCCGCATCGCCGATGCATCGGCGATGGAAGAGTCCGATTTCTCCGCGGCGACGTCGTCTGCTCCAGATTTCGTAATAAAAGGGAGGGGGTCTGGACCCTCCAAGGCAAGCCATTTCAGAACCCCCCCCCGTGGGAGAACCCTCCAAAACATCGTCCCCAGACCCCCCCAGGCCCTCCAAGATAGCCTGGAAGAGACCCCCCCGAAATGAGACCCCCCTCCCTTTATCACGAAATCTGGAGTATGCATCGCCCACGTTGCCGACGCATCGCCGATGCACTGGCGATGCGTCGGCGTTTCGATGCAATCCTCCGACCCCATTTACGGCAGGTTCGTATCGTGTCGACCAGCAGCGACGCCGCCGCCAGCGTTCAATGTTGAACGCCGTCGGCGACCCAGAATCGGTCGAAGTTGAACGATTAGACGTTTTGGAAACCGCCGATCGTTCAAGGTTGAACGATCCCCGCTGTGTCAGGAACAAACGCCGAAGTCGGCACGACACGAACCTTCTGCACTCGTACCTCATCTGGGAGGCCTCCAGAACAGTGGGTTGCTGGTTTTACCTGGTTTGATCGCGTGCCCAATGGCGGAGCGATGTGCCTCCTTCGGCCGTCTCTCGAAGTATGCAGCGCCCGGTCGTGCATTGCGGTGCAATCTACTGGTGTAGAATTCTTGACGCCTCGCGTATCCCCACCAGCGCCAACCGCTCCTGGTCCGCCGCCTCGGAGCCGCCGACCCAAAAAAGAGTCCCCACCAGCGACTCCACGACTCCACGACTCCACGACGCCGCGCGGCTGTCCGCTTGCGGTTGCGAGCAAAAATCCCCACCAGCTCATCCCAAACCAGTCAACAGGCGAGTTGCCCTGATCAGTGGCGACCTTGGGCGCGGCTGGGGCCGTCTTGGGTCCCTCTTTGAACCATCTAAAGGCCTCAAGAGCCCATCGGAACCGATTCGGCGAGAAAGCGCAGCTCATTGACTATTCCTCAGGTTTTGGGAGCAACTTTTGCATCTATGGGGGCATCCTAGGGGGGCTCGGAGGGGAATTGAAGCCGTCCTGGGGCGGTTTTAAGGATCTTGGTCCCGTGCTGGAGGCTATCTTGAGCCACCTTTGGCTACCTTGAGCGATCTTGGAGGTCATCTTGGGCTCTCTGGGGCTATCTTGGAGCAATCTTCGGCCATCTTGGACGCTCCAACCCCTCGCAGAACGCCCCCTCCAGACCCAGGGGGAGGGGGTAGGGGGAGGGGGAGCCCCTTCCCTGAAGGGTGTTAACAGAACGAGCTTGTTAAACCGCTCATGCCCAGAGGGTTGGTGGGATTCTTTGCCCTAGGTCTCCCGAGGACTAGGTTACGGCAGCCAGTCTAGCATACCCATCGGTAAAGAACAGAGATAGGAGGGAGGAAGGAGCATGAGGAGGAGGGAAGAGGGGGGAGCAGGAAGAGGAGGGATGAGGAACGAGCAGGATGAGGATGATGCGGCGGAAGAGGAGGATTATGAGGTAGGTAGGAGTCAGATGATGGTGCTGACGATGGCATGGTGATGATACTGACAACGATGACGATGCTGGTGACGGTGATGGCGCTGCTGGTGATTGCGCTGCCGGTGATGATGGCGGTGATGGTACTGGTCATGGTTATGGTGGTGGTGCTGGTGGTAGTGATGATGATGATGATGATGATGATGATGATGATGATGATGATGATGATTATGATGATGATGATGATTACGATGATGATGACGATGATGATGACGATGAGGGCGATGAGCGGCGGTGGTGTTGGTGATGGTGATGTCTGTTGCTTCCGACGACGATGATGATGAGGATGATAGTGGTGATGATGATGGAAATGTCATCAATGACGACGACGGTGGGGGTGGTGGTCTTGGTGTTGCTGTTGGTGATGATGGTGATGATGAAGACGATGTTGATGATGAGGATGATGATGATGTTGATGATGATGTTGATGATGATGGTGGTGATGATGGTAATGATGCTGATGCTGCTGATGATGATATGATGTGGTGCTGACGATGCGGATGATGACTATGATGATTTGGTGGAGGTGTTGATGATGATGATGACGATGATGAGGATGATGATGCGGATGATGGTGATGATAATGCTGATGCTGACGCAGATGATGATCATGATGATGATGATGATGATGATGATGATGATGATGATGATGATGATGGAGGTGATTGCGAGTATGATGATGCTGCTGCTGATGATGATACTGCTGATGATGATGATTGTGATGATAACGGGGATGTTGCATATGCTGATGTTGATGGTGTCAATGCTGATGATAAGGCTGAGGACGAT